TAGGAGCAGAATAATATACTAGGTCTTACCTGAAACAAACTCAGGCTAATCTCTACACTTAACTGTCTCATTGCAAGAACATCTCACTACGTCACTAAAGCAACAGGTATAATCAATAAGAGACTTTAAAATTTCCATCCCACTTACAACAGCTGCTCGTAGTTATACATAATACATTAAAGTGTGTGCCTGGTCCAGGCATCATCACATTAGAAAAGCCCACTGGCTGGTTAAAAATAAAAGGGAACATTGGCTATTTTGACAATATACTGAAGTGAACAAATTATCTCCATGAAACGAGGTGAATCTGAGCAGCAGGCACGATTTCTCTGTATAATTTGTGACTCACATGCAGACTGAGCAAGTGGGGTAATAATGTTCTAGGACTCAACGCGGCTGTTTTTCATAATAAAATTTAGTGTTGAGCTGCCAGAGAGAGTAAGAACTGCTCAAAACACGAATATGAAAACTACTTTGTCAGCCCCGGGAAAACAGCAATTTCAGATTCAAAATCCTGAAAAGTGATCGGGAACTGGAAATCCATTAACAGAGCAAGGTGCTGGCAACCAGCCCTTGTACACCAAACCCTCACCCATAAAGCTATTGTTTTTCAAGTGTCTTATATACCCAAGATCTTTTCCTGGTGAAACAGCTGTGTCTGTATCTTCACAAGTTCAGAACAAAATACACTGAAAACTCTTTACTTCAACTCCTGTCACTAGTAATTAAGATGTAACTTACTCCTTGCCAACTAAAAATCCAACTAAGTCTTTTCCCCTTAAAGTGTTGTCTTTGAAAAACAATTCACTTTGGGTTGCTCGAAGTCGTGGCTCTAAAAATTAAGGGTATGCTCAACCATCGACTCACTTCATGTAGTACAGCCAGCATTTATTGTGGGAGAAAGAACTGACACATTGCAAGTGTGTTCAGTTGAGTCACTTATTTTACCCCATAGCACAAGTGGTCCTTTCATGCACTTTGATGTAACAAAGTTTCAGCTTTCTGAATACTCCACTTGGGATTTTTTCCTGCCCCGCTGGTTTCCAGCTTGCAATAGAAATTCCTGGTAACTCACTACAGGGAAAGCACTGAAAGGTGGAGCTGTGAGGGCTCCTCCCACGGCTGAACGGGGTGGGGTGCTTCTCCAAAGCCGGGAGCACCAGAGACAGCACCCCTTAGCTGGTACTTCACACTTGTCCTCTCTCCTCCTCCAGCAAAGCCACACGAGCCCTGAAGCTTGGGGGGAGGGGAGGACCCTGACAGGCACGGCACAGGTGCCCCAAGCAGCTGCCTTCCCACCCACCCCCAGCCAGGTGAGACCTCCCAGAGCCCCCGCTGAGTCCTCGCAATTCATCCCGTGCCCCTCTGAGAAAATGGGATTAGAAAATTCCTCAAAGGAGAAGAGATGGGCAGCGCATCCAGCTGAAGGGCTCTCCCGTGCGCAGCCGCAAGGTAACGCCAGGCTGAGGCTGCGAGAGCGGCTCTTCCTCGGCGGACCTGTTGGCCGGGCGGTGTCTGAGGAGTCGCGCCCCCGCACCCTCCCGCGTGCACACACCCCACATCCCCGCCCGAGACGTGCGGACACGGCCCTGCAAGCGCGCCTCGGCCCCGGGGCTGACAAGCAGGCAGCCGAGGCCCTGGGTCGTCCAGAATGTTTTAAGCAGGGAGGGGGCTCGTTGTTAAACATCCCTACTCCCCTCGCCAAGCCACCCGGGGGGGCGCATGGCGGCCCTCGCGGGCGTCTCCAGGGCGGGGGGGGGGGGAAGCATTGATTGGTCCCTAACTTCAACCACAGCAACCAACTACCCTGGGAGCAGGGAGTCCCCTCCCCCCCACCCGCTGCCCATGATCGGAGGACGGAACCCCACACTTTCACTGTGACCTTGAGGTCATTTCTAAAATACGTTCCACCCCAGGTCCGCATCACTTGACCCACTTCCCCTGGTAACAGAAGCCCCCCGGATACCCGCCCAAAATGCCCATCCCGGGCAAATTAAGAATGCGCTTCCCGGGGAGCTCCAGCGACCCCTCAAACACTTCTCACTTTACCGAAGGCTTATGTACCCCCACACCTGCCGAGCGCCCCTCACGCCAGGTTGACTCTCCACCCGCAAGAGCAGGAACACCCCCAAGTTACTCCTCATCCGCACGCGGGGGCAAAGGAAGCCTTAGATGGGCACCCTTGGGGGCTCACGCTACAAACCACCTGGGGGGGTCCACAATCGAGGCAATGGGAGGGGGCGGTGACCCGCCAGGTGTGCCCGCAAGGGATGGTCCCAAGCACCGGGGTCGTAGCTTGGCCGGGACACCCCCCACGGCTCGGGAAACTCAGCCCCGGCAGAGCCCCGCTGGGCCGCCGCGGGGGGCGTCCGGGAGGGGGTGCCACCCCTGCCCGGGAGAACCGCGGGGCTCACGGGCGGGCGCTGCGAGGCGCCGGAGCCGCCGCGGGTCAGCGCGCCCCGGTCCCGGAACAGCCAAACTTTCTCCGCCCTCCGAAGTTAGGGGCGCCGCGGGGGAGGCAAGACACAGACCAAAACGCACCCCCCGGCGCCCCCCCATCTCCCCGAGCCCCCGGAGAAGGAGCCGTCGAGGCCGCGGCGGCCCCGGGCAAGCCGCCCCCGCCCCAGCACCCTCACCTGCGCGCGGCCCGCACTCACCTGGCTGTAGAGCTCGCCGACCGACATGACCCCGCCGGCCCGGCGCGCCCGGGGGCTGTGCCCGGAGGGCGGCCTCGCTGGTGCCCGGGTGGGCGGCGGGTCCCGGCTCCCGGCGGCCCGGGCGGCGCTCAGTCCGCGGCCGGCCCGCGGGGCGCCATCTTCCCGCGCCGGCCGAGAGTGCCTCCGCGCCGCTCCCCTCCCGCCTGCCCCGCCGGCTTCCTGGAGGCGCCGCGGCCGGCGGCTCTCCCGGGCGACCTTTACTCCCGCGGCCGCGGCGCAGCTCGCCGGGCAGGCGCTCCCGCGGGCGGGGGGCCGCGCCGCTCCCCGCTCAGGTATGGGAGGAGCGCGCGGGCGCCGGCGGCGGGAGGAGGCGCGTCGGGGCGGGCGGCCGGTGCGCGGCGCCGCCGCCTCTGAGCCCTGCCCCGGCCGCGCCGGACTCGCCCTCCCGCGCCCCGGCCGCCCCCGCCGCGGCGGGGTCCCGGGGGCCGGGGGCGGGGCCGCGCGAGGAGCGGGCGCAGGGCGCCCCCTGCTGGACGCCCGCGCGCGCGGGCACAGGTGTGCGCCAGGTGTGGACACCTGGTGGCCGCCCTGGGTGCTCGGCGCGCTGTGCCCCTGGGAGGCGGGGCGGGGGTGCCGCGAAGAAGGGGGGTCGGGGGAAGCGGGGAGGGGAGGAGCAGGAGGGGATCAAAAAATGAGAGGTCTGTGACTGAAAGGCTCCGTGCGTTTCCTCTGGCTTTTCTCATTAAAATTCAGTTCTCCGGATGGTCTCACTCATAGCAGGAATTTAGAAGACCTAAATCAGGGACCAGGAAAAAGACTAATAAAGTAAAATCAAAATCAACAAGCAACTATAAACCAGAGACACACTGGGGGGAGGGGAGGAGGGGTTAGGGTCAAAATAAGGGGAGGGGAATTGTATGGGGACTATAACCAAGATGTAAATGCATAGATTGTGCAAAGATGAAAAATGATGTAAAAATATATAAAATACATTTAAAAAGAAGATCCTCATCAAGATGAAAATGCATGTGCAAACATGAAAAACGATGTAAAAATATATAAAATTTTAAAAATTAATCAAAAAATAATTTGGAATTAAAAAAAGAAAAAAATTCAGTTCTCAAAAATGAAAAGGCAAGATATATATATGCCTGACAAGGGTCTTGTGTCTACCCTCCAATTCGGTAATAATAAAGCAAATAACCTTATTTTTAATGGGCAAAGATTTGAGTAAATACTACCAAAAACTTAGTGAATGGCCCATAAACAAAAAAAAAAAAGCTCGACATTATTAGATATCAAGAAAATGTAATTAAAACTGTCATGAGATTTAACTTTACACCCATTCCTTTGCTGTGGTTTAAAATGACTGGGTCTTCCACAATCCTGGTGAAATGTGATGGCTTACAGTGAGTTTGTAAACAGTTTCTCATAAAGTTAAAAATGTACTATGTGGCACAGCAACTCCATCCCTAGGTATTTTCCCAAGAGAAGAACATGTGTCCACAAGAATACTTAGATGCTAATATTTATGGTCCCCTAAAACAGAAAGCACCCAAATGTCTGTCAGTAAACTCACTGTGACATATTCATAGAATACTCAGCAATGGAAAGGAATGAGCTACCAATATTCATACAGTAGGTGAATCTCAAAAACTTTAAACTGAGTTTTTTTAACTTCATTTATATGAAATTCTAGAAAGAACCACACAAATCTATGGCAGGATGACAGAACAGTGTCTACATGACCTGGACCTGGATTTGGGAGAGGGGCTGCCTCTTGCGATGATGTAAAATCTCCATGTCATGGTGTAGTTATGGTTACAAGATAGTATGCATTGGTCACTCAGTAACCTGTAAAATCAATAAAGCGGTCTTTTAAAAAAAAAGGGGGGGGGGAATAAACCTCAGTGATGCTGTGGATTGCTAAGGTGATTCAGAGCTACCAAAGATTATCTCTGCCAAGCTGAGCTCCCTGTGCCAAAATCCTGTTCAGAGAGCAGAAGTCATAGCCCTTCTCCACCTTACCTCCCCTATGACCCCAGCCTCCAAGTCTACAGGCCACCCCCAGCAAAGTCTTGGCTGATTTTCTGCAGAGTCTCACCTTTTCTCCTCTCTGTCCTACATGCACCTTCTCAGGCCCTCTGCGCTTCCTACCTCACTTAGCTTGTACCCTCTGCCAGTAGCACTTGGCTACCTACAGCAGCTTGAATACCGCTTCTACTTCCAGCAACGAGTAGAGATTTCAGCCAAAAATGAAAACAATTTGCAGGAGTTGGTGGAGGGAGCGCAGGGAATGTAGGAGGGGACTCGACCTCAGTTTCCTGAAGGTGGCTTTTGTACCTGAATGGGGAATGGAGTCTGGGGGAAGTTCTCAAGCAGAGAGTCCATGCGCACAGGTTGAGCAGGTGTTCTGGAGCCCAGCTCCCTGAGGGTCATTCTTAAGGCCCTCCCATTTCAGATATCTCACGTGGAAAGCAAGTTCCCCACGGAAACACCTGCTGGCCCTTCTCATGCTCTGCCTCCTCAATGAGAATCACCTGGGGAGATTTAGTGGGCCTGAGGAAGGGGCTCCAACTACAGGAATTATAATTTATTGGGAGAAGGTGGGAACTAAGTATCTGAAGTTTTTAAGCACCTCCCAAATTCTTTTTTTAAAAAAGATTTATTTATTTTTATACAAGAGCTGGGATACAGGCCAGAGGCGCAGGAGGGTGAGAGGATTCACCACAGAGTAGAGCAGAACAGGCAGAGTGAATGAAGTACACTGCTGAGGCAAGCAGCAGGCGTGACAGGAGAGGTCTGCCACACCATGTGGGAATCTCCCTGGCAGGCCGGGAATCAAACCGGCACTGCAGAGGCTGCAGACAGCTTCACAGTGCTGCGCTCAACCTGCTGCGCCACCTGGGAGGCCCACCTCCCAAATTCTAAAGAACTTTTCTTCCAGCTTTAAGAAATGCAGGGGCCAAGGCTTGATCCGAAATGAAGCTCCTCATAGCACTGGCAAGAGCAGAAAGGAAATGGCTCCGGCATGTCTCACACGCTTGAAAATGTGCAGTTTCCTTCCCCGTATTCTAGTAGTTCTTGACATATGGGCGCAGGCTGTCAGCATCACCTGGGAACTTATTAGAAATATAGGTTATAGGGCCTCATGCCAGACCTACTGGCTCAGAGACTCAGAGGGTGGGACTGAGGGAGGGTCCTTTCCAGGGGACTCTCCCCTCAGGGACTAATAAAAACTCTTTGCTGAGGCTCCATCCCCATCTCTGCTCCAGGGCCCTGCCCTTCTCCACCTCTGGTCCCATCTCTCTACCAACAACTCTCTCTCACTGACTTTTTCCAGCTAAACTTCTCAAAGTGGTAACTGATGCCAGCTGGCTCCACTCACACCCAGTGCCTCTGTAATTCACCGGTTCTCAACCTTTCTGCGCAGTAGAATCACTTTTGCAAACACGCCTGGCTCCCACTCCCCGGATGCTGCTTGGGCAAAGACATGTGTAGGGTAGGGAGAGATGTCAGGCTTTTCTGCCCTCCCGCCATCGGGATGGATGGTGGATCCTTGCGGTCCTGAATGCATGCCTGATGGCGGGCACCTGGAGTAGGGTGTGGGCATAGGTAGATGGGATTCACCTGGGCTGAGACTGGGCTTTTAGGGTCGGCGTCACAGGGTCGCCAGCAGAAGCCAAAAGAGAAGCCGAGAAAGAAGTAGTAGAAGCCGAGAGAGAAGCAGAGAATACCGGAGAGCCCAGATAGAGTGAAGACTTGCTGGGGGCAGGCCTCCCGGCCCCCCAGCACCCTTGCCTGCTGTGTACCGGGTAAATCCCAATAAAAGATCCGCAAAAAGCCACTGAGGGCTCCAGGACTCCTCCTTTACCCGGTCTGCTGGATCAGAAAACCTGCACTGTGTCCTGTCCAGTCCTTACAACATGTTTAAGAGCTCCCAAGTGGTCTAAGGGCAGCCAAAGTCAGGCTTGCTGCTTTAATTCCTTCCTAAGTGGCTCCCACTCAGCCCCAGTGTGTGGAAATTGCGTCTCCCTCCAAGCATGGGGTGGTAATGGATCTCTCCACTATGTTAAGCCCTTGGCATCTACCACTTTTCTCTTATTTTCCCAGCTTCCCACCTTCCTCATGTCCTTTTCTAGCCCTGATTCTTCTGTCTTGCCCCCAAACAAAACTGTAGCTCATTTTCCAGATGATGGCTTTCTTCTCATTCACGGCCCCTATTTATTTCTTATCATAATGTTAACTCTCAAATCTAATTCTATCCTAAATTTAGACTCACTTCTCCACCTGCCAGGTAGGCAATGCTCCTAGCAATCCTTCAAGGACCTAGGGCCAATCTGGAACTGGTTTGTTTTCCATCCCTCCGCCCCACCCCCACCTGCTTCCAGCTGCCTGGTTTCTGTCACACCTGGCACAAATGCAAACCCAGTTCAGGCTGATTGCGCTGACCCGCATCCCCCCACCCCCAAGGAGAATGCTACCCTGGGCTATCATTTTGTGCATTTCTAATCCCACAATAAGATATGGCCTTTCCCTGCTTTGAATAATAATAGACAATTTAAAACTTACTTTGTGCTAGGAAACATGCCAAGTGCTTTACCTCTGCGATGTTGTTTGAGCCTCAGAGGAACCCCTCGAAGAAGATTTGAATAATCCCATTTCACAGGTGGGCAAAGTGAGGTGGGGGAGGGGAGGCGACCTTCCAGGTGAGGAACCAGGAGTCAGTGACAGACACTCCATCTTAGCTCTAGAGGCTGAGCACTTGCTTTTTACACCAGTGATTCTTAGTATGTGTGTCAGTTTATAGGGATATCAGGAGATGCTAATTTAGTTGGTTCACATGTGGTACGGAAGTCTGTGTGTTTAATACATGCCCCAGGTTGTAGGGGGCTCACATTTTAAGAAACGTGGCTCTGGGCTCCCTGGCTTCTCAAAGTACAGAGAAGACATGCACAGGAACACCTGGGTCTCCCTCCTGCCACGTGGCACTCCCCGTTGCAAACAAACAAGAACATGAACTTCCAAACCCTTCATTGGTATCTCTCTTCGCCCCCCCCCATTGGTACCTCCCTTAAGGAGCTCCCCTTGCTGTGCCCCCTGTTTTATGGATACTTATTCCCCTCTCTCCTCAACACTGGGCTCTAAGGACCCAGAAGACAGACTGTAAGGGCAGGAATGGACCACAGTGCATAGTACCCGGTCTGATCCAGCAGACTGGGTAAAGGAGGAATCAGAGTCCTTAGTGGCTTTTTGCATGTCTTTTATTGGGGTTCACCAGGCATATAGCAGGCAGGGGTGCTGGGGGGCCGGGAGGCTGGCAGTCCTCCCAGCCCCCAGCAAGTCTTCACTCTATCTGGGCTCTCCAGCCTTCTCTGCTTCTCTCTCGGCTTCTGTTTGTTCTCGGCTTCTTGACTTCTCCTGGCATCCTCATGACGCTGCCCTTAAAAGCCCAGTCTTAGCCCAGGTGAATCCCATCTACCTATGCCCACACGCTATTCCAGGTGCCCGCCATCAGGCATGCATTCAGGACCGCAAGGATCCATCATCTATCCTGATGGCGGGAGGGCAGAAAAGCCTGACATTTTTCCTTACCCTATACAGACCCCACACCTGACCCATGTATTTATCCTCTGCTCTTCCAAGTACAAAGCCTTCTGCAATGAAGAACTCTAGAAATAGCAGGGGGGATGTGTATGGGCTGGAGCTACAAATCGCTTCCAACAAATAAAATTCAGCAAAGGTGATGGCCTGTCACTTCCATGGTTAGGTTAGAAAAGACTTGAGAACTTGTGTTCTCATTTGCTCTGATGAAGCTGTGAGCTGCCTTAAAGACACCATGTGACAAGGAACACAGGGTGACCCAGACCCACACCCTCAAGGAATTGAATTCTCCCAGTAACTGAGTGCAGGAGCTTGGAAGCTGATATCTGGTGAGGCTTGAAGACTGCAGCCCCAGCAGACACTTTGCTGGCAGCCATGATTAGAATAGAAGATCCAGAAAAGCTGTGTCTAAATAAAAACAGATAATAATGTCTGTGACCCGTGGAAATGGAAATGTGTCTCATTTAAAACCACTAAATTTGGGGATAAATTGTTATGTAGCAGTAGAAGACTAATACAATATCAGACAGAAAGTGTTCTGTGGTGATTGGCTTGCTGGTAAGAATGCCATTCTAGCAAGTTCTCTTCTCCTCTGCATGGTTTCCCAAATGCTCCTACCTGCATCTTCATGCTTGGTTTGTGGTCCCCTGGTGTAGGCCAAGACTTTTCAAGGACTTGTCATTCCATAACTTGCTTTAAAAGAGTTGATTTCCAAATCCTAAATCTCCAGATCCATTCCTGCCTAAACACTGATTTGCAAAAACAAAAAAAGAAACCCAGACCTGCAGAAAGGGGGGCAGGGTAGGGGGTGCTCATTCTCAGATCTTCCTTCTTACTTCTCCCACTTGGCAAAAAAAAGGCACAAATTTTCAGTCCTCCTGAATAGTCGGGTGGTGCTTTCCTTAGGGAACAAAAACCTACAGGACCCCAAACAAAAGAAGAGTTAGAAGCTGTGGTGTTGAGAAAGTGCATGAAAAATGAAGGGTCATACATTCTGTACAGGTCAGGTGGTTTCCAGTTCTGTTACCAACAACACTGGGCACCTAATCCGGTGGTCAGCTGGCAGATTATTAAAAATAATCTTTTGATGGATCACTATGTGATTTTTGGCAACTCAGAAAGAATGTCAAGAATTGAGCAACACAGTTTTAGTGAAGTTCCCTTTCCCATTATTTATTCAGGTAAACAATTTACAGCACTTATATCTATAACAAAATTAGGGCTAGATTTTTGAAGTTTTGGAAGAAATTCTTTTTTTTTTTAAAGATTTATTTATTTATTATTTATACAAGCACTGGGTACAGTCAGAAGCGCGGGAGGGTGAGAGAATTCACCAGAGCCAGAGTGGGGAGCAGAACAGGCAGACTGAGGAAGTACACTGCTGAGGGGAGCAGCGGGCGGCAGGAGAGGTCTGTGCGCCATGGGGGGGCCCTCCTCAGGTGGCTGGGGAGCAGCCAGTTTTGCAACCCAGGGAGGCCCTGTAAGAAATTCTTTTGTGTCTTTGGAAGCTGACCTAGATCTGAGGCTTCCAGGAGAGAAAGGATGAGGGAGGGAGAGGGAAAGGAGTGAAAACAGAAGGGGAAGAGCACACTGGACTAGGACTTAGGCTACCAGAAGGGGGATGTGGTGAGTTAGGAACCCAGGGGAGGGGGGGGGTTCAATGGAGGGTTGCTGGGGCTTTGGTGGTGGGGTTGGTAAAATAACATACAATTGTAGAGGTGTAGACATATACCCCTAAGATATATACTGTGGTATAAATCAACATTATCTCAATAAATATAACTTAAC